GTGCCGCAGGGCTGGCAGCCGCCACAGCCGCGCCAATGCCCACGGTCCTGCTCTCCCCCAGGGGCCTCTCGCCGGTAGCCGACGGCCACCCGGCCGGGGGACACCGGGACCATGACTTCGGCCAACGACTACGAGCAGCTGGACCTGCCGCAGCAGTACAGCCGCATTGTCCGCTGGGACGCGTCCGATGATGAGCTGGACAACGACAACAGCTCGGCGCGGCTCTTCGAGCGCTCCCGCATCAAAGCCCTGGCAGGTGGGGGATGCGTCCCCTCTGTCCCCCCTGGGTTGTCCCTGCTGTCAGTGACACCATGCCTGCTGTCCTTGCAGATGAGCGGGAAGCTGTGCAGAAGAAAACCTTCACCAAGTGGGTGAACTCGCACCTGGCTCGTGTCACCTGCCGCATCTCGGACCTCTACATGGACCTCCGGGATGGGCGGGTGCTTATCAAGCTGCTGGAGGTGCTGTCAGGAGAGCTTCTGGTAGGGAATTCTATCCAACTGGAGACCCTGGGACCCGTGCTGTGCCATGCTGTGCCATGCCACCCATGCCATGCCATCTCTGATGCTCCACCGAGGCGTTGACCTTAGTGTTGGCCAAGGGTTGGGATGGCAGCATGGATGCAGGGTGTCCCTGGGTAGGATTTGGGGTACCTGGTGTGAAGGGAAGGGTGCTGAGTACTGTCATGCCCCAGCCCAAGCCCACCAAGGGCCGGATGCGGATCCACTGCCTGGAGAATGTGGACAAGGCACTGCAGTTCCTGAAGGAGCAGAGGGTGCACCTGGAGAACATGGGTTCCCATGACATTGTGGATGGCAATCACCGCCTCGTCCTCGGCCTCATCTGGACCATCATCCTCCGCTTCCAGGTGGGGGGGACTGGTGTTTTGGGGCATGCCTCAGCTCCCAGGTGGGAGCCATCCTCTCTGGAACTCCTGTTCCAACTCTAGAATGTCCTTCTGACCTCCAGATCCAGGACATCATTATAGAGGAGGGCCGGGAGACGCGCTCTGCCAGGGACGCTCTGCTGCTCTGGTGCCAGATGAAGACAGCAGGGTAGGTGGTGGGACCCCCCACACCTCTGTGACAGAGTCCAGGGGTGCCCAGAGGGTGATGGTGACACACTGTCCCCCTTACAGGTACCCCCATGTGAATGTCACCAACTTCACCTCGAGCTGGAAGGATGGGCTGGCCTTCAATGCTCTCATCCACAGGCACAGGTGAGTGGCAAGGTGGCAGGCACCAGGGTGGTGGTGGCACTGGGGGATGTCCCACAGGTATGTCACCACTGTCCTGTACCACCCGTCCCCAGGCCTGAGCTGTTTGACTTCCAAAACTTGACCAAATCCAATGCCCGGCACAACCTGGAACATGCATTCAGTGTGGCAGAGAGGCACTTGGGCATCACCCCGCTCCTCGACCCTGAAGGTGAGGCTGGTCCTGCCAATCCTCCTGCCTCAGTTTCCCCTGGGGCATTCCCAAGCTCTGTGGAGCACAGAGAGGTTCCAGACCCATGGAAAGAGGGTCTGAGTGGTCATAGCAGGGACCTTGTGAGGCTGTGGTGGCCTGTGGGGTAGGTGGAGGTGACATCTCTTGCTTGCAGATGTGTTCACGGAGAACCCTGATGAGAAGTCCATCATCACCTACGTGGTGGCCTTCTACCATTACTTCTCCAAGATGAAAGTGCTGGAGGTGGAGGGAAGGCGTCTGGGCAAGGTAGGGGATGGCACTGAGGTGGTTGGGAGGTTCTATTGGAGTGTGGCCCCTCATGCTCACCCCCAGTCCTGCTGCAGGTCATCGAGCATGCCAAGGAGACAGAGAGGATGATTGAGGGCTATGGAGGGTTGGCGTCCGATCTGCTCACCTGGATCGAGCAGACCATCGCTTCCCTCAATAGTCGCAGCTTCGCCAACTCACTGTCTGGGGTGCAGCACCAGCTGCAAGCCTTCAGCACCTACCGCACTGTGGAGAAGCCCCCCAAGTAAGTGTCCCCCACTGCCCACCTGGTCATTTGAGGCACCCATGGGTGCCTGATGCTGAGCTGTCTCTGGGCCAGGTTTCAGGAGAAGGGCAACCTGGAGGTGCTGCTCTTCACCATCCAGTCAAGAATGAGAGCCAACAACCAGCGTGTCTACACCCCTCACGAGGGACGCCTGGTTTCCGACATCAACCGGGTATGGGGCCCATCTCCTAGGGGAAGGTTGAGCTCATCTCCTGGGGGAAGGTTGAGTCCATCTCCTGCGGTGAAGTCAGGTCCATGCCCTGGGGTCAAGTCAGGTCCATGTCCTGGGGTCGAGTTGGATTCATCTCCTGAGAGAAGTTGGGTCCATCACAGAGCAGTTCCTAGTGCAGGTTGGGTCCATCCTGGGATAGGTCTTCTGAGTCCATCTCCCAGAGCAGTTCAGGTCCATCCTGTGACATGCTGAGTCCATCCTGGGGCAGGACACACCCATCCCAGGGCAGGTTGGGTTCCTCTACCCAGGGGTCACATTGAGGTTCACCAGCAAAACAAGACATGAGTGGGTAGGGTATGGGTGCCATCCCTGTCCCATGTCCCTTTCCTCCAGGCTTGGGAGCAGCTGGAGAAAGCAGAGCATGAGCGGGAGCTGGCACTGCGCAATGAGCTGATCCGTCAGGAGAAGCTGGAGCAGCTGGCACGACGCTTTGACCGCAAAGCAGCCATGCGGGAGGCCTGGCTGAGCGAGAACCAGCGCCTGGTGGCCCAGGTGAGGCTGGGGACCCCCACCCTGGGGACCCCTATACCAGGAAGCCCCAACAGAACCTCACCACAGACTCTGTGCTGGGGCAGGACAACTTCGGGCAGGACCTGGCGGCAGTAGAGGCAGCCAAGAAGAAACATGAGGCCATTGAAACAGACACGGCTGCCTACAGAGAACGGGTGCAGGCCATTGAGGCAGTGGCCAGGGAGCTGGAGCTGGAGGGCTACCATGACATCCAGCGCATCAATGCACGCAAGGACAACATCCTGCGGCTCTGGGAGCAGCTCCTGGAGCTGTTGGCTGCCCGACGCCAGCGTCTGGAGATGAACCTCACACTGCAGCACCTCTTCCAGGAGATGCTCCATTGCATTGACTGGATGGATGAAGTCAAGGTGAGCCATAGGCATTGGATGTCACCATGGGTGAGGTGTCCTGGTTCCACTGGGTGTTGGTGGGACCCCCTTGGGGAAGAGGATGAGATGTTGGGGTACTGCTGATGGCTTTTAAGTGGCAGTGGATGACGGCTGAGGCTTTCCTGCAGGTGCAACTGGCATCACAAGAATCTGGGAAGCACCTTCTGGAAGTGGAGGAGCTGCTGCAGACCCACCGGCTGCTGGAGACCGACATGGCTGTACAGGCAGAGAAGACCCGTGCCATCAGCACCGCCGCCCTCCGCTTTGCCGAAACCGAGGGTAGGTGTGCTGGGACATTCCAGCACCCATGGCATCCATAGCATCCATGGCATGCCAGGACACCTTGCTGATGGGCACCCCCTGGTCTATGTCCAGGCTACCGTCCCAAAAAACGGGCTACCGGCGACCCCAAAATCATCCGGGACCGTGTGAGCCACCTGGAGATGTGCTGGCGGGAGCTGCAGCGGCTGGCGTCGCAGAGGAGAGACTTGCTGGAGCAATCCC